TAAAATAAAATAAAATAAAATAAAAATAAATAAAAAATACTATAACAACTATTTATATAGCATTTACATTGTATTAGGTATTATAAGTAATCTAGACATGATTTAAAGTACATGGGAGGATGTGCATAGGTTACATGCAAACAGTTCACCATTTCTTTTTGTCCTTTTTGAGACCAGCCGCACCGCGCTTAGCCAGTGAGCACTATGAGCGCACCGGTCATCCCTATATAGGATCCGAACCCGCGGCAGGAGCGCTGCTGCGCTCCCAGTGCTGCACTCTCCCGAGTGCGCCACGGGCTCAGCCCCAGTTCACCATTTTTTATCAGGGACTTGACCATCTGTGGATTTTGGCATCCACATGGATGTCCCGGCATCAATTGTCCATGGATACCGAGGGATGACTATATTACCAAATAGATGAAAGAGGGAGGCCAGCATGCCAGAAACTCAATTTAATCTATTAGTATTAATTACTGAACTTTTTATTATGGAAATATCAAACATACACAAAAGTAGACAGATTAATCTAATATTAATCCCACTTCAGCAATCATCACCTTTTGGCCAATTTTACCCCATCCACACCTCCTGACTCTCCCCACCCCACCCCACCCCAATATCAACACACTTACTTCTGAACGACGATCTTTTTGTCCAGGTCACAGCCAATTGAAATGAGCGTCGACTGCCAAGGAGAGATTCAGAGAGGCAGGCCCAGGTCAGTGAGGCCCCCCAGAGCCCAGCCACGGTGAAAACCTACACAGGAGCATGCTTGCATGGAAGGGTTTGGAAGATGTGTGGCCTGGATCCCAACGAGGTGACACCCCAGTCCTGGGATGCAGTGTAACCACCGGAGCACGAGTCCTAGGAGCCTGCCCGAGCTATGGGGCACAGCTAACCAAATGCCCCATGCCACCAGACTAAACCACCTCTTAGCAACTTCATGGGGGGATCAGACCTAAGTCATAAGAGTCTGGCACAATGCCTGGCACACAGAAGGCATGGGAAAAAAATGGATGAATGATTGAATGGGCTGGAATGAAGAAAAAAAGGGGTAAAGAGAGAGAGAGAGAGAGAGGAATGTGGGGTAAATCTGACAGCCTTAGGGACACACTTCTCAAACTGGGGCATGTGGCCCCATCACAACTAAATGGTGGAGTCTACAAGCCACAGGACAAAGGGATGTTTGGTATTTGAAAACAGTTTTATATTAAGACAAACACAGATTTACCTTGGAACAGAATGCAAGACTCATCATTTTTCTAAATTGTAGTAGAAAATTGCCCAGCCACCAAAAAAAAAAAAATTATAGTAAAATATATATGCTGTGGGTTAAATATGTCCCCCAAAGGTTCACATATTGGAAATGATCTACATTGTAACAGTGTTAAGAGAGTGGGAAATCCTATTATGGTAATTAAAGGTGGGGCCTTTAAAAGGTGATTAGATTGTGAGGACTGTGCCCTTGTGAATGGATTAATTAATCCATTGATGGTTAATGGGTGGTCATTGGTGTGGTTATGATGGCTTTAAAAGGAGAGCAAGGGAACAGGTTATCTCTCTTGCTCAGCCATTTCGTCATGTGACACCCTGTGTTGCTGTGGAGTCACCGAGAAAAAGGCCTTCACCCGTTGTATTCCCTGAACTGTGGACTTCCCCACCTCTGAACTGTAAGAAATAAATTTCATTTTCTTACAAATTACACAGTTTTAGGTTTTCTGTTATAAGCAACAGAAACGGCTAATAGCTAAAGTTAAAATTAACCTAAAATTGACCATCTCAATAAGTGCACAGCTCAGCAGCATTAAGCACATTCACACGGCTGTGCAACCATCACCACCGTCCTTCTCCAGAACTTTCTCATCTTCCCAAACTGAAACTCTGTCCCCATTAAACACTCACTCCCCATCCCCCTCCCCAGCCCCTAGCATCCCCCTTTCTACTTTCTGTGTCTGTGGATCTGACGACTCTAGGGACCTCCTATGAGTGGAATCACACAGTGTTTGTCCTTGTGTGACTGGCTTATTTCACTGAGCATAATGTCCTCAAGGTTCATCCATTCTGTAACACGTGTCTGTATCAATTTTTTGTCTGTCTGTCTGTTTTTGGCGGCTGGCCCGTACAGGGACTGAACCCTGGACCTTGTTATCAACACCACACTCTAACCAACTGAGCTAACCGGCCAACCTATATCAATTTTTAAAACATGCCAACAATCTTTAAAAAATAGTCT